TTCCTCTTCTTCCTCACATTCCCTCTACTCCCTCACATTCCCTCATACTCCCTCACATTCCCTCTTCTCCCTCACATTCCCTCTTCTCCCTCACATTCCCTCTTCTCCCTCACACTCCCTCACATTCCCTCATACTCCCTCACATTCCCTCTTCTCCTCACATTCCCTCTACTCCCTCACATTCCCTCATACTCCCTCACATTCCCTCTTCTCCTCACATTCCCTCATACTCCCTCACATTCCCTCTTCTCCCTCACATTCCCTCTTCTCCCTCACATTCCCTCTTCTCCCTCACATTCCCTCTGCTCCCTCACATTCCCTCATACTCCCTCACATTCCCTCTCCTCCCTCCCATTCCCTCTTCTCCCTCACATTCCCTCTGCTCCCTCACATTCCCTCATACTCCCTCACATTCCCTCATACTCCCTCACATTCCCTCATACTCCCTCACATTCCCTCTTCTTCCTCACATTCCCTCTACTCCCTCACATTCCCTCATACTCCCTCACATTCCCTCATACTCCCTCACAATCCCTCTTCTCCCTCACATTCCCTCTGCTCCCTCACATTCCCTCTGCTCCCTCACACTCTCTCTACCCCCTCACATTTCCTTATACTTCCTCACATTCCCTCTTCTTCCTCACATTCCCTCTACTCCCTCCCATTCCCTCTTCTCCCTCACATTCCCTCATACTCCCTCACATTCCCTCTTCTCCCTCACATTCCCTCTGCTCCCTCACACTCCCTCACATTCCCTCTTCTCCCTCACATTCCCTCTGCTCCCTCACACTCCCTCATACCCCCTCACATTCCCTCATATCCCCTCACATTCCCTCATACTCCCTCCCATTCCCTCTTCTCCCTCACACTCCCTCTACCCCCACATTCCCTCATACTCCCTCACATTCCCTCTTCTCCCTCACATTCTCTCTGCTCCCTCAAACTCCTTAACATTCCCTCTCCTCCCTTACTTCCCTCTACTCCCTCCCATTCCCTCATACTCCCTCCCATTCCCTCATACTCCCTCCCATTCCCTCCTACTCCCTCCCATTCCCTCATACTTCCTCCCATTCCCTCATACTCCCTCACATTCCCTCTTCTCCCTCACATTCCCTCTGCTCCCTCACACACCCTCACATTCCCTCATACTCCCTCACATTCCCTCATACTCCCTCACATTCCCTCTACTCCCTCACATCCTCTTATACTCCCTCACATTCCCTCTTCTCCCTCACATTCCCTCTACTCCCTCACATTTCCTCTGCTCCCTTACATTCCCACTACTCCCTCACACACTTCTCTCTCTCTCACTCTTTCTTACTCTTAACTTCCTCTTGCACTCACTCCATCTCAAAATCCATACTTACTCTTACAATCACCTTACTCTCATATTCATACTGATTCCCTCATATATACTACCACTCACATTCCCTCATACTGTCACATTCAACCCTCCCTCTCCCACTCATTCTTCCTCTCACAAAATCACATTTACTCTCACTCTCCTCACACTCCCACTTCCTCACCTACTCACTCCCTCTCACACTTTCTCTCATATTCTCCCTGTCACACCCACACTCCCTCTCACATTCATACTCTCTCACATTCACATTCCATTTCACATTTCCTCTTTTCTGCTCATGGCCATACTCATCCTCCCTCAGCCACAGGGAAGCCTTTTGACTTGGTAGATGTGGTTGGGGGCCCCTTCCAAGGCAGGCTCGGCAGAGGGGCCAGGAGGCATCCACCCCCTGGCCATGGGGCTCCTGTGCCCTGAGGCCAGGACCAGGACCAGGCTGAGCCCCTCTATGAGGCCAGGTTACCCTGTTCCCGGAACACACGCCCAGACGTCCCTACCTGGGGTTCAGTGAAAGTGCTGTTGTCAGAGTTCAGGGTCCCTGAGGAAGCCTCCAGCTTAGGCCTGCGCACAGTGAGTGCCATATGGGGGTGGAGAGCACTGTCCAGGCCTGCGCCCAGTCCTCCACCGTCCCCCTTGTAGGGTCAGCGGGCTTGGGCATGAGGAGCGATCCCCTTCACAGTTGGAGGTGTGGGAGCCTCAGACTGGAACCTAAGCCGCAGAATACTTGTGGAATACAGAAAAAGCAATGGGAGTGGAACCCCAGACCAACAGATCCCCTCAAGAGGACTGGAAAGGGGGCTGGGGTCCTGGCATCCTGGCCTTTTATCCTCACAAATACTGCAGTTCAGCTGTGGGAGGGCAGCCGAGGGCAGCGTGGCGGAGGCGGTCTGAGGACAACCCAGTGTCTAGAGGATGATGGGGCACTGACCCCCTGGGGGCTCCAGCAGGGATCCCCTGTGGTAGAAAAAAGGACCAAGAGGGTCCACACGGCCTGGCTGGAGCAGCGGGTCCCTTTTCTTGGGGTGTTGGGGGGCGGCCGGCCCAGGAGCAAGCAGGTCATGATATCACGGTCTGTGTCGGGGTCCAGAGGCCAGAGAAAGGCCAGCCACACTGGGACAGGCACAGCGCCAACCATCCCACTCAGCCACGAAGCTGCCCGTGGGGACACAGGCTTGTCTCCCCGGAGCTCCCAAATCCTGAACACTTTGGACATACACACAGTGGGTCAGCTGGTGGCAGGGGAGCGTGCCAAATGCGCGGTGAAGGCCAGCCGCCCCCTTCTCTCCAGACCCCTGTCTGCAGTGTCTGGGGCCAGGGGCCCCCACCAGGGCTCGGGGGTGGCTGCCGCCTGTCCCACCACTCCCCCACCTGCCCTGTGCTTCGTCATATCAATGCATCCCACTGGCACGGTCGAGGGGGTGAGAGCGCCGCAGCATGGGTCTTGGTGCCAGGGAATGTGCCCTGGGGTGCCTCACCTCTGCCCGCTGGCCCTGGCGGCTCCAGAAGTCACTGGGGGTGTGGTGGGGGTACACGAAGGGCCCCGCGGGTGCAGCCCACACTGCACACAGTGAGATGTGACTCCCTGAGGCACACGCCACACCGGGCCCCCCACCTAGGAACAAGCCTGCAGAGACCCTGCAAGAGCGAGCGACCCCCCCCCCACACACACCCAGGAGACACAGGTCTGAGGACAGGGTGTGGCTTCCCACAGAGGGACACGCCTGCTTCCCACTAACGTCTGGGTGCGTCCACCCTGCACTTACTCCCCCCCGCATGGACCCCTGCCAGACAGCAGGCAGAGGGGTCAGGGAATGGGGCCCTGCAGGGTGTCTGGGACTGTAGAGGCACCCCTACACGCAGGCCTTTGCATCCCACCCTCCCCCAGGTCCTCAGGAGCCCGTAATTAGTGGAGTGGGCTAGAGCAGAGGTGGGCGGCCTGTTCAGCCCCTGGCCAACGCCCCCTAACAGCATCTCTCCTCCCCACAGGAGGTGGGGCCCGCGGCAGCCGACGCCTCCCGGCCAGCACCAGAAACATGGGTGTCGCCCCCCGGCTTGGTGTGCACATAGGCCCCTCGAGGCCGCTCGCCAGCAGGCCTCCCCCATCAGACCTCTCCGCCCTGAGCACTAGCCTCGGTGGCGCTGCCAAGGCCAAGACCAGTCCCCACCATGCCACTTTTGTTTGAGGCCGCCCTCCCCGCAGGGTGCGGCCCTGCATGCTCTTGGGGACAGTGGGGCTGAGGGGGACGTGCTGTCCCAGGGGCCCTCATCCGCCTCCCGCAATAAAGCCTCTTTGAGGACCCCCCAGCGTCTGCTCATTCTGGGGCTGGGTTTCCCTGGGTCTCTAGCTGTATCCATGACACTTGGTGGGTGGGTACAGTGGCACAGGGACTCGGCGACCAGGCCAGGAGTGGCCCTTGGGAGCAGGGCAGAGGCTGCCCTCCCTTTGGGGTGGGGCCTCCTTATGCAGGGGGTTTCTCTCTCTTTGGGTTAGGCATGAGTTCTGGCTGGCGGGTGGTCTGGCGATAAGCAGCCCCTGCTTGGATTTCTGAGACCCAGTGGACACCTCTGGTTGCCCCTCTGGCCACCGCCTCACAGGGAGAATCCACCGGCCCGGTCTGTGCGGCAGGGACCCCCCTAGTAGCGCTGATGGGCTTCAGGCTGGGAGCTAGGCCAGAGCCTGTGGGGTTGATGCATGTGAAAAAGGAGAGAGCGGGTGGGGTTCCAGTGGGTTGTGGGCTCTGATCACAGCAGCTGTCAGAGCAGAAAGCTGCACCTGTCCTGGCCCCCCAGCCACACTGTCCCCCACCCCTCACACCCACCTTGCTGTCACTCTCCCCCACTATAGAGCTGAGTGAACTGGCTGACAGTCAGCGTCCCTGTGGCTGCTCAGAAATTGCAGAAGGGGTTTCCGGGGTCAGCACGCACCAGGTTGCCTGCAGGGCCACTCTGATCCCAGAGCTCAAGTGAGCACGCACACAGAGCAGGCCAGCCCAAGGCAGACCTCTGTGCTGTGGGTGCCCATGGATGACAGCCAACCAACCGGGGCTCAGGAAGGGTTGAGGACAGTACGGGACACACCTCACGTAGATTGCGCAGAAGCCCAGCCCTGCACAGTCCAGGCTAAGAAGGCTTTCTGGAGGGAGAGGAATGCCTGGAGAAGTGGGGGTGGCACCGCTCCTGTTACCGTCACCTCTCAGCTCTCCTCCTGCCTCCTCTAAGGGATCCCCTACCCCAGGCTCATTCCGGGGTACTCATTCCTCCACCCCAGGGTCCAGGAGTGTTGTGGACAATGGAGAGTCCCCATCCTGGGTCACCATGTAAACGCCAGCACTTTGGTATTGCAGGGACAGGCCCTGCCCCAAGGGTCCAAACAGTTCACCAAGACAGAGGTCAGCCTGCAGGGCCCAGCAGTAGGCTGGTGTCGGCCCTGACCTGCAGTGCTGTGCTGGAGGCCGTCCTGGAGGAGGCTTTTGGCCAAGAACAGAAGCCAGTTAGGTCCAAACAACACAGTTGTTCCCAGAGGGGGCAGCTGGGCCCCAGCGAGGGGCTCATGCTGAGCCAGAAGGACCCGGGTTAATGATTTCCAGGAGGCCCTGACCTCGGCTGCTCGGCCTCCCGCCACCCCTCACATTCACTCAGAAGGAGCCATGGGGCGCCGGGTCTGGGTGTCTGGCCCCTACCTGCTGCCCTTGCTCTCCCTGATGCTCCTGCTACCACCTCTGAAGGCCCAGCCCCAGGCCAGCAGGGTAAGTACTGGGAACCCCTCGGGGTGTGGGCAGCCCAGCCAGCTGGGGCAAGGGGCAGTGCCTCCAGGATTTAGGTGGAGGGCAAGTGAGGCCCTAGTTCAGAGGTGAGTCAGGCAGCTCGGGCTGACCCTGGCCACCCCTCCTGCGGTCCCAACCAGTGTCTGGGGTGGGCTGGGGGGAGGGGCACAGCTGCTCTCATCCCCTCGGTGGACACCAGGATTCACTGACTCAGCCCTGCTGAGTCCCAGGCTGCTGGGAGGGGGAGGGGCCAGCTGGCTACAGGGATATGTTCAGGGCCTCGTGCCTGCTCCCAGACCTGAGGACCCCAGTATGGGGATGGGGGCCACATTGAGCGCACATCCTCAGCACTCTCGGCTCCTAGAACCAGACTGAGGAACCGGAACCCAACAGCACAGTGACCATTGGGACGCCAGGGCCCCCCATGACCTCTGCGAACCCTAGGACTCCAGCCACCAGCACTGCAGAGGCAGAGGGACCCCAAGATGTGGAGCACACCCCCCTGACCCGAGTGGCTCCCTCAAGCAGCAGCCCTGGGGGTGCAGGTGTGTCTGGAGTGCTTCCTGGAGGCAGCGGGCAGTACCTTGAAGGGCGGGTTCTAGGGAGGGGGGATGCTGGGTGAGCAGGTGCAGGATGGGGGTCAGGAGGTGCTGCGTGCAGACCCCTGACCCTGCCACCTCCCCAGCAGTGCTCACGGAGGATGGGCAGCTCTGCCGGTTCCCCTTCCGCTACGGTGGCCACATGTTCCATTCCTGCACGACGGAGGGCAGTGCCCACAGGAAGTGGTGGGTCAGGGGGCAGGCTTTACCACCAGGCAGCAGCAGTGCAGGCCCTCACTGGCCCCACACTGCACCGCACCCACGCTCAGGCTCTGATAATGAGCGAATGAGTGAGTGGGGCATGAGTGAAGGAGAGTGGGAGAGTCCAGGAGTGAGGGGGTGAGAGCAACCCAGTGAGGGCCAGCCCAGGACCCTGCCACTGAGGCCACCGCTCCCTCAGGTGTGCCACCACCCACAACTACGACCGTGACCACAGCTGGGGCTACTGTGCACAGCCTCCCACGCCCCAGGGGGGGCCAGGTGGGTGCTGGGCCTGGGCCGGAGCTGCCAGGGTCGGAGCCCCACGGGGTGGCCAAGGAGGGAGAAGAGCCAGAGGTGGGGGAAGGATGGCCCAGAGTTGGGGGGTAGGGGGGGCTGGGCCGGGCCAGGGCCAGGGCCATGGCGCCCCCAGGTGGTTGCGCCAGGCCCTCCGGGTGAGGGGCTGCTGCGCGCAGCCGGGCTCCGCAGGGGGCGCCCAGAGTCCGAATCACCAAAGGGGCGAGGCCCAGACCCCACGCCCTGGGAGCCCACGGCGGGCTCTCAGACCCCTGCCCCCTCCGCAGCAGCCCCCGACCCCTGCGCCTCCAGCCCCTGCCTCAATGGGGGCTCCTGCTCCTCCACCCCGGAACTGGGGTCCTACCAGTGTGCCTGCCCCGCAGCCTTCACAGGCTGGGACTGCGGCACGGGTGAGTGCGTGCGGCCGCGGGGCCGAGGGGGGGGGGGGGGGGACGGGGACTCTGCGCGCGGGGCTCACTGTGCTCCCCGCAGAGAAATGCTTCGACGACTCGCGCCACGAGTACCTGGACGATGGGGAGCGCTGGGCCCGCGCGAAGGGGGGCCGCGTGGAGCAGTGCGAGTGCGCGGGGGGCCGGGCCCTCTGCCGCGACACGGAGCACGCAGGTACGCGCCCCCCACGCGCGGGTACGCGCCCCCGCCCCGCCCCGCCGGAGCCCCCACCTCCCGGCCTCCGCCCCCACCAGAGTGCCCGGACAGTCCCTGCCTGCACGGGGGCACCTGCCACCTGATCCTGGCCACCGGGGCGACCGTCTGCTCCTGTCCCCCGGGCCGCGCCGGACGGCTCTGCAACATCGGTGAGTGGAGCGCGGGCGGGCGGGCGGGCGGGTGGCGGGCCGGGACACTGCCCCCGCTAACCCGCGGCGCCCGCAGAGCCCGCCCAGCGCTGCTTCCTGGGCAACGGCACCGACTACCGTGGCGTGGCGGGCACCGCCGCCTCGGGCCTCAGCTGCCTGGCCTGGAACTCGGACCTGCTGTACCAGGAGCTGCACGTGGACTCGGTGGGCGCCGCCGAGCTGCTGGGCCTGGGCCCGCACGCCTACTGCCGGTGAGCGCCGGCCCCGCGCGCCCCGCCCTCCCGGGGTCGCGGGGACCCCGCCCGCGCCCACCCGTGCCCTGCGCCCCAGGAACCCGGACCTGGACGAGCGGCCGTGGTGCTACGTGGTGAAGGACAGCGCCCTCTCGTGGGAGTACTGCCGCCTGGCGGCCTGCGGTGCGCGCGGGAAAGCGGCCGGCGGGCGTGCCGGGGTGGGGGGGGGGCGCCCGCGCGGACCACCCGCGTCCGCGGCGGCCGGCTGTGACGCGGCGGCCTCTGCCCCCAGAATCGCTGGCCAGAAACCAGCTCCCGACGCAGGTCCTGCTGAGTCTGGGAGCGGCGGCGCCCCCCGCGCCCCGCCAGACCTGCGGCAAGAGGCACCGGAAGCGGAGCTTCCTGCGGCCGCGCATCATCGGCGGCTCGTCCGCGCTGCCCGGCTCCCACCCCTGGCTGGCCGCCGTCTACGTCGGGGACAGCTTCTGCGCGGGAAGCCTGGTGCACAGCTGCTGGGTGGTCTCGGCCGCCCACTGCTTCTCCAGCAGGCGAGAGGGGCCCCCAGCCTCCCCACCCACCCTGCTCACCCCACGGACCCCCGCCCACCCCAGCCTCCCCCACGGACCCCCGGCCTCCCTGCAGACCCCGGCCTCTCTGCGGACCCCAGCCTCCCCCCCCCCACGGACCCCAGCCTCCCCACGGACCCCCGTCTTTCCCCGGGCCCCACCTGCCCCCACAGACCCCATCCTTCCCCACGCTCCTCATCACCCCTACGGACCCCCACCCACCCCACGGACCCCACCCGCCCAGGTGGAGGCGCGGGGACGCACCGGGCGAGGGCGGCTCTCGCGCTCCGGAGGGCGGGGCGGGGCCGCACATGCGCGGCAGAGGCGATGGGCGTGTCCCGCTCAGGCCCCGCCCCGGGCTCGCAGGCGATCCGCTGGCCGCCAGGGGGCGCAGGGCCCTCGTGCGGAGCCGGGAAAGGTTCCGGGCTTAGGGGACCGCGCAGCCCGTGACCGGCGGGGTCAGAGACCACCCCCGTCCCGTCTCTCTCCCGTCCCGACCTGCTGCGGTCCGGGCAGACCCCCCGGGAGGGGTTCGGTGGGCGGCGCGGGGCGGGGCGGGGCGCGCCGCGCGGCTGAGGCGCCGCTGTCCCCAGCCCCCCCAGGGACAGCATCTCGGTGGTGCTGGGCCAGCACTTCTTCAACCGCACCACGGACGTGACGCAGAAGTTCGCCGTGGAGAAGTATATCCCCTACCCCTTGTACTCCGTGTTCAACCCCAGTGACCACGACCTGGGTGCGGCCCGGCGGGGCGGCGGGAGGGAGGCGGGGGAAGCCGCCGGGCTGTCCCTGCTTGCCCACCCTCACCGGCCGCCTTTCTGCCGGGCTGCCCTCCGCCTCAGTTCTGATCCGGCTGCGGAAGAACGGGACCCGTTGTGCCGTGCGCTCCCAGTTCGTCCAGCCCATCTGCCTGCCCGAGCCGGACAGCCCCTTCCCTCCGGGACACCGGTGCCAGATAGCAGGCTGGGGTCACCAGGACGAGAGTGAGTGGGGCCTCGTGCCACGCAGGGAAGGGCCCCCGCTTGCCTTTGTGCCAGGGCTGGCCTGTGCACATCTTGGTGCCATCTTTCGCTCAGGGCTGTGACCCCCCTCATGCCCTTGTGCCCTCCCTTGTGCCCAGCGCTGGGCCGTGCCCCCTCATGTCCAGGGCTGTGCCGCCTCGTCCCCCATGTGGGGTGGTGGTGCCCACTGAATGCCCGTCCCTGGCAGATGTGAACGGCTACTCCAGCTCCCTCAGGGAGGCGCTGGTGCCCCTGGTGGCTGACCACAAGTGCAGCAGCCCCGAGGTGTATGGCGCGGACATCAGCCCCAACATGCTGTGTGCTGGCTACTTCGACTGTAAGGCGGACGCCTGCCAGGTGCATCTCGGCCGCGGCTCCCTGCAGGCCCCACAGGGCCAGCAAGGCCCCGCCTGGGGGGTCCTGGGGCAGAGATGGACCCTGGGAGAAGCCTGGGCACCTTCTGGAGGAAGGGGCATTAGGAGTTTGTCAGGTGCTGAGGCAGACTTTAGGGGACAGGAGGGCATGTTCTGGGATGTGGGGCTGGTCCCAGCAGCAGAGCTGGGGACCAGCCTCAGGCCTTGGGGTGCCAGTGAATCCCAGGGGCAGGGACAATCCCACCCCACAGAGGGGCAGAGCAGGGTGGGGGACAATCCTGCTCGACCCGGGACAGCTCCCCTGCTTGTAATGCTCTGTCACCTGCCCCACTCGGGCAGGCCCATCTAAGGCACCTTAGTTGACCAAGGGACAGGGGAAGCGGGTACCCTATGGGCACTAACCAGCACTCTCCTGCAGGGGGACTCGGGTGGGCCCCTGGCCTGTGAGAAGAATGGGGTGTCCTTCCTGTATGGCATTATCAGCTGGGGGGAAGGCTGTGGACGCCTCAACAAGCCTGGTGTCTACACCCGCGTCACCAATTACGTGGGCTGGATCAACGACCGGATCCGGCCCCCCAAGCGTCCTGCGAATCCTGCCTGAGGTTCCCCCATTTCTGCCCCTGCCACGCACGCAGCAATAAAGGGGTTTGCCGAGGACCCGCCTCCCTCTGTGCATGGAGCGAGGAGAGCCACAGGCAAACCCCGTGGCAGCCCCAGCTGGCCCACAGCGCCCGTGGATGGTGCTCGGTCTATGGGTCTGGCTCCTCCAGCCAGAGCAGGCATCCTTCGGCACTTTGCTCCGTCTTCAGCCCTGCATTCTGCGGGCGGCCCTCTGCCCCAAGTCGGCGCAGGACTGTGCAGGTGGCAGCCGAGCCAGAGCGGGCGGGACCCCTTCCTGGGCCCCCTTTCCGCGCTGTGCTCTCAGGGCAGAGGCCGGCGCTCTCGGTCAGGCACTTCCCACCACTCCCGCCTTGGGGCCGGGCTTCAGGCTCCTCGGCCAGCCGGCAGCTCGGAAGGAGGCGGAGGCGGGTGGCGCCCTTGGGAGCAGGTGCGGCCGGGGGCAAGCGGGGTGGGCGCTGGGCAGGGGCCAGCTCTGAGGAATGCAGCGGGCGGGCCCCTGCCTGCGGGGAGCGCCGGCCGCGTGCCAGGCAGCGGATGTGGCCGTGTCCAGCACCCAGCGCTGCCCAGGCCGGTCCCTGCCCCGCCGAGCCGGGAGCATGAATGGGGCAGGGAGGCCTGGCAAGGCTCCGCGCGGGCGGCGGGCGGCTGGTGGCACAGGTGACGCGGGGGCGGGCGGTGCGCGCTGGGCGCCGACCCTGCGGCCAGACGGCCTGAGACATCGGAATGAGCTTGTCACCACCTCGCGCCTGTCCTCTGGGCACTATGGGGAGGGCGGGCCCCTCGCCTCGCCTCGCCTCGCCATCCGCCCGCCTCCCCCTCACCAACCCCGGGACAGCCTGGCCGCTGCAGCCGGGGGCTGAGGTCAGCTTCCGGTCTGGGCAGCGGCGCCTGGACCAGCGTGGGGGCGGGGGGGGCGTCTCACTGCCCTGGCAGGTGGCAGGTCTACACCGCCCGGCCCTCCGAGCGGGAGGTCAGTGTCGGGGAGGGCTGGCCGAACTCAGGGGCTCCTGGAGGCGTCTGGCAGCGGCTCCGGGCTGGGGGCGTCCAGGCAGGGCAGAGGCCCAGGGCGGTTCGGCCGTGAGGCGCAGCCGAGCGGGGTCCCGGGCGTCCTGACGCCGCCCCGCGCCCCACCCCGGCGTCGGGGAGACCCCACGCGCCCCGCCCCCGCCGGGCCCGCCCCCCTCTGGCCCAGCCCCGGCCGCCGACGCGCTTTGAAAGTGACCCTGGGCTGGGCGGCCGCGGGGCGGCGGCGCCGGGCACCATGACAGAAGATGACCGAGGCGGCGCTGGTGGAGGGCCAGGTCAAGCTGCGGGACGGCAAGAAGGTGGGCGCGGGGGCGGGGGCGCGGGCGGCGGGGGGCGCGGGCGGGGCGCGGCCGCTCACGCCCCCTTTGTCCCGCAGTGGAAGAGTAGGTGGCTGGTGCTCCGCAAGCCGTCGCCCGTGGCAGGTGAGCGCGCGGGCCGCGGGCCGCGGGCCGCGGTTCCCGGGCCGGGGCGACGGGCGCGGTGTGGGGCGCGGGGTGTGGGTGCAGCCGGGGGCGCCGCCCGCGCAGGAAGCGAGCTCCGGGCGCCGGAGCGCGGCCAGCTCGCCCGAAATAGCCGGCGCTGCCGCCCGGGCGCGGGCTGTACCCGGAGAACAACAGCAGCAGGGCAGGAACGGGGAGACGGAGAGCGGGCCGCGGCTCCTGGCCCGAGCGCAGACCCCAGGGTCCGGCGCGAGCCTGGTTTCCTCACTGCTCCCTCGTGGGAGCCCCCCAAGCCCAAGAACAGGCGCCCGTGGGCGTGGCCCGGGTGCGCGGCTCCCCGTGCAGTTCGCGTCCGGGACCCTGCGGGCTTTGCGCGCCGTCGCGGCGGGGGTAGCGGGGGAGGGGTCACCTCGGCGGGACACAGTTGGGGCACAGTTGGAGGATCTGCAGCTGTCGAGGAGACAGGTGTCTGGAGCCCGCCCAGCGCCCCGGGGGCCGTGTGGGAAGCTGGGCTGAGGCTGGCGGCCGGCGCGGGGCCTCGTTCCGCCGCGGCCGCTGGCTCTGCTCCTCCCTCCCGGCGGCCAGACGGAGGTCTGCACCCATTCCCTTCCTGCCTGCGCCCCAGTTTCCCCTCCAGCCCTGGGAGTGGGGTGAATGCTGAAAGAAGGGCAGCGGCTGGCACCGCTGGGCAGGGCGGGGGAGGACACCGTGAGCAGAGACCTGGGGGCCTCCTGCAGAGTGGCCTCCCCACACTGTCCAGAGGGCATGTGGGTGCCGGCGCTGGCGGAGCACAGGAGGGACATGGCTGGGCAGGAGCCCTGTTACCAGCCCCCCAGCCCCAGGGCCAATCCCACACCTCTGGCGCCCTGCCCAGCTACTCCCCATGACTTGGGTGGTGGCAGAGCCATAACCTCGAGGACCTAAGGACTCCCCAGACGCTGGATGCTCTCCAAGAAAGAGGGTGCCCAAGAAAAGAGGAGGATGGGGGTCAGAGAGCTAGAACAGCGGGGAGGGCGTTTGCCTTGCACGTGGCCAACCTGGGCTCCATCCCCGGCATCCCACATGGTCCCCAAGTATACTGCCAGGAGCAATTCCTGAGGGCAGAGTCAGGAGTAACCCTTGAGCATCACCCAAAAAGCCGAAAAGAAAAGGAGTCTGCCTCCGCAGATGGCCTGGCTCTCCATACTAGTCTCGGTGGGGGGTCGGGGGGACTCACTGGGGGTTGGGGAATGGAGGCGCGCCCGGGCCCACAGGGGCAGGAGTGACCAAACTCCGGTGGGACCTCATCATCTGGCAAGATCCACCAGCCAGAACTCCAAGTTCTGGGGTGGCTAGGGGCAGGGAGCTCTGGGGTCAGAAGCCCCAACTCAGCCGATAGTCTGTGCGGCTGGTGGTGACAGGTCCCTCCAGGCCCTGTACCCAGCTCTCCGTCACCAAAGCCCCCCCGTGTAGGATTTGGTGCTCTCTCTCCCAAATTAACTTGTAGGGCTCCCAGGCCTGACCTGGCAACAGCTGGGCTCCAGAACGGGCCTCCTGCCCTAGTACCCGTCAGGGGTATCTCTGGTCAGAGCCACTGGAAGCTAGTGCCGGAGGCCACTCTAAGCCCCACTCAGGGGCGGTCCTGGTGCTGCTTGAGGCCACTGGGTGCCCAACTGCGGCTCCAGCGTGTCTGGGTCTGGGCTGTGACTGCCGCCCCCCTCCTCCAGCCGGGCCCCTCTTCCCAGTCAGCTCCAAGCACCTCCACAGTCATGCCTCTAGGGTGACTGAACCCCTCCGGACAGCAGGACCCCCTGACCCTCACGCTCTCTCTGTAGGCCCCAGGGTGCCCTGGTCTTAGGCAGTGCCCTGCTCCCCACTGCAGCGCTTATTCTAAAGCCCCTCTCTACTGCTGAGGCCTCAGCACCAACACGGCAGGGGCCCAGCTCCTGAGGCCACTGCCCTCGGCTGCCCTGCCCAGCACCGTCCCCACTGGCACAATGCTGTTTTCTGTGGTTCAGGCCTGATCAAGCATCCAGGTGCCCCTGCAGGCCATGTCACGAGTGGGCAGGTTGTTTCTAGGGGGGAGCAGCTCAATCTGCCCTCACATCACCCACACACGAGGGCTCGTTTACGGGCATGCATGGACAGGTGAGCAAGCATCTGTCTGTGGGGTTCCAGCGCATGGAGATGGGGTGGCCACTGTCGGGGGCACACAGTGGGTAGAGCTGCTCTGAGGCCCGTAACTGGAGCAGGAACCAGGCCTCACCCCCTGAGGAACAGGGCGCCTTCCGGGGGACCCCCATCTCCACAGGGGCTGAGTAGAGGCCTTGAGGTTCAGGGGTACCCAGCTCTAGACAGTCCCACGTTGAGGTCCCATGGGAAGGGCCTGTGGGCTCCTTGCGGGCCGTGTGGGGTTCTGTGGGGTCCAAGGAGCTGTGTACCAAGGGGAGGTTCTGGGGACACGGCGCAGGTGGAGGCGGACAGCAGCACCTCACCTGGGACAGCCAGGGAAGCGCTAAGGCTGACCACGTGCTGACTCGGCGCCAGGCTTGCCCCAGTTGCGTGCTGGGGGACCTGTGCAGGACCCCCACAATTTCCCCGCCTGTCCCAAGCAGGCTTGATGCTTGCCCCGCACACAAATGCGCCAGTTTCCGAGGGGAGCCCTGAGGCCGGGGCCTGAGCAGGGCAGTGGGAATAGGTGTCACCCTGGCTGTGGGAGGCGAGCCGAGGGGGAGATGCGCAGAGGCAGTGCGATCCTGAGACCCTCCCCCGCCGCAGGCTGGGGTGCTCAGGGCTCGGGTTCCTCATCTGGGGGTTGGCAGCTGCTCAGGGCCGAGAGATGCATGCATGTGCACTGGGCGTGCGGCATCATGGCGTGAGTATGCCGGGAGGGCATGGGGCACGCATGTCGGGGTGTGCGTCCAGGCATGCATATTGGGGCAGTGTGCGTGTGTGCATACGTGTGTGCGTGCGTGCGTGCGTGCGTCCGGGCATGCGCGCGTGCCTGTGTCTGGTGTGCCCGTGCGTGCGTGCATGGGGCAGTGTGCATCCATCGGGGCGTCCGTGCGTGCGTGCGCTCGCCTGAGCCCTATGTTCTGCAGATTGCCTGCAGCTTCTCGCCTACAAGGACCGCTCGGATCGCGCCAAGGGCCTGCGGGAGCGCAGCAGCGTCACGCTGGAAGCCATCTGCGGCCTGGAGCCGGGGCTGGCGTTCGAGGGCCTGGCCCACACGCTGGCCATCGTGTGCCTGCCGCAGGCTGTCATGCTGGGCTTCGACAGCCGCGAGGCCATGTGCGCCTGGGACGCCCGCATCCGTTACGCGCTCGGCGAGGGTGAGTACGGCGGGGTGCAGGGAGCCGAGCAAAGGGGCACTGGCGCCCGCCGCCCTGACCGCTGCGCCCTCCCCAGTACACAGATTCCCGGTGACGGTGGCGCCGGGCACCAAGCTGGAGAGCGGCCCAGCCACGCTGCATCTGTGCAACGACGCGCTGGCCCTGGCGCGGGACGTGCCGCCCGTCGTGGGGGGCCAGTGGAGGCTGTCAGACCTGCGGCGCTACGGCGCGGTGCCCGGCGGCTTCATCTTCGAGGGCGGGACCAGGTGTGGGTACTGTAAGTATGGGGGGGTGGGCAGGGAGGAGCCGGGCGTTCCTGTGGGGTTGGCCCAGCGGCTCCTTGTCCTGCAGAGCCGTGAACAGGCTGGTGTGGGCAGACCGTGGGTTCCCGGGCACACCCTAGGGTCGGGCAGCGGGGAGCGACCTGGGGGGGCAAGAGCCTGCTTCGGGGAGTGAGGGGCCCCCACACGGAGATGCTGCACAGAAGGTCGCTGCCAGGGTCCCCAGAGCGGGAGGGTGGCTCGGAGACACCCAGCGCTCGCCCTGGCGCTGCCCGTTCGTCATGTGTTGTTTATAGCGGGGACTGACCGTGCCCTCTGCGGCCAGCTGCCCTGGACCGGGATTAGGGGCCAGCTCTGTGCCGTGGCCCAGGGCGCCGACAGGGCGGGTTGGCCGGGCAGGTTGGCCAGGACGCCCCGCGCCCCACCTCGCTGTCTGGCCGCGTCTGGGGCCTTCCGGCCAACGCTGCGTCACTCCTGCTGGCTGCGGTCACAGCTGTGCAGCACCACGGCAGGCCCCGGTGGCCCAGTGTCTGGACTTGAGGCCACTTTCTGGCTTCCCTGCCCTGTTTTCTCATCTCTAAGCCATTTGGGGACATTGCAAGGGGGTGTGCTGGCAGCTGACCCCAGGTGGGGAGAAGGCAGGGGGATCTGCGCATGGGCTCCCACCTACCTCAGAAATCTGGGGGGCTGACAACAGCCAGCACCCAGGGCCGACTCATCCCTGCTCCGTCCCTTCCTGTGACTGGACCCCAACGCCCCCCTGAAAAGGAGCAGACCCCTGAGACTCCAGTCTCCCGGGAGGCCCCGCCTCCCCTCCTGAGACCCCCTCCGCCCCCCATAGATCCTGCCTCCCTCCCCACCAGACCCAACTCTGCCCCCAACTTCACTGCAGGGTGGGTCCTGCACCCCAGTCGCAGGCTCTGACTCCCCACCCAGTGCTCCCATGGAGGGGCCACAGTGGGTCCTCAGATTAAGAGCGTCACTGGGCTCCAGGCAGCCCCCAGTCATGTCTGAGAGAGGCCCAACCGTCAACCCCAGTGAGGAGACATATTTTCGGGGGTGTCCGTCCACCCCGGCAAGATGGGTGCCCCCTTCCCCTGCCGCGTGGGCGTGGCCAGGGCCCTTGCAGAGCAGCGGGGTGGGGGGCTCAGGGCGCGCTGGTCCGTGTCCCCAGGGGCTGGCGTGTTCTTCCTGTCGGCGGCCGAGGGCGAGCAGATCAGCTTCCTGTTCGACTGCATCGTGCGCGGGGTCTCGCCTAGCAGGGGCCCCTTCGGGCTGCGGCCGCTGCTCCCAGGTGTGTGCAGCCCCGGGCGGGGGGCCGGGGTGCCCAGAGTGGCCAAGGCCCCGCAGGGTCCTGCTGCGCCCAGTGCGGGGAGGGTGGTCCAGGCCCACAACCCCGCTCAGGTCCTTGCCCGCCGCAGCTGCTCCATCCCGGCACCCCTGGGCACCACAAGCTTTTGCTGGGTGCGGTGACGCCCCCTGCTGGTTCATCGGTGCATTGCAGCCGTTGGTGTGGGCTATGACCGCGGCTGGCCCAGGTGACAATCAGACTCCGGACTGTGGTCCTCACAGGGGCTCCTGCCCTGAGCCGGTGGGGCCTTCTCTGCACACCCTTTCTCAACCCCAGATGGGGAGGCGAGGGGCATGTGTGTGGGGTCAAGGGGAGTGTGCAGGGCCTGTGAGGGTGTCTGGCAAGCAGGATGTGAGCAGGGGGGGCCAGCCTGGCACTGGCGGGCCCCCGGCTCACCTCCTTCTCTGCAGATCCTGGCCCTGGGGTCCCTGGGGCCACGCCGGACCGTGTAGCCCAGGAGGCCCTGCGTCTGGAGAAGCGGCTGAGTCTCCTCTCGCACGCGGGCAGGCCTGGCAGCACAGGTGGGTGAAGCGGGTGGGTCTGTGAGCACAGCCAGGGTGCAAGGGGTGGGGTGTGAAGGAAGTGGTGTGGGCAGTGACACCGTGGTCCTCTGTCTCAGGGGATGACCGCAGCATGTCCAGCTCGTCCTCAGAGGCCAGCCACTCAGATGTCAGTGCCGGCAGTCGGCTTGCTGCGTGGCCAGAATCAGCCTCCGCCGGCACCTCGCAGGAGGGCGGCCAGGGCCCCGGGGAGGCTGCGCCGGGCGCCTCCCGGCCACCCCCCCAGCCACTGCGGCCGCGGCCACTGCAGGAGGTCGGCCGCCAGGGCTCCTCGGACAGCGGCATCGCCACGGGCAGCCATTCCTCCTGCTCGGGCAGCTTCTCGTCGTGTGCGGGCAGCAGCCTGGACATGTGGTGTGAGGCGGGGGAGCGGGGCTCCCAACTCAGCCTCCCACCCGAGCACAGCCTGTGTGCCTGCCCGCCCGCCGCCGAGTACCAGGTGCCTAGTGGGCTGCGGCCTCACTACGACACACCGCGCAGCCTGTACCAGGCCTCTGGGGACCAGAGCCGGGCTGGGCAGGGAGGCCCCGACGGAGACAACGCGGCCCGGGACTCAGGGTGTCCCCCTGGCTGGCTGGGCACCAGACGCCAGGGACAGGCCACAGAAGTGCTGCCAGCCACCCCGTCCGGCCCAGCCCTGGGCGAGCCGTGGGAGGTGGGGAGCCACCAAGCCGGGCCCCCCACAGCACTCTTTTCTACCTGTGCTGTGTGTGGAGGCCTCAAGGTAAACCCCCCTCCCTGACCACTGGGGCTGGGTTGACCCCCAGGACCACAGAGGGGTCAGTGCCCGGCTACGGGAGCCAGGTGCTGGTTCATGAAGCCAGTGTCCGCAGCTCAGGGGAGGGCTACCGTGATGGGGGGACATCATGTGGGTGGTCGTCTGGGCAGGCAGGCCAAGAGTCTGCTGTGGGAGAGCCCATGGCTGGAGGCCCCCGCTGCTCCCTGCACCTTCCGGGGGACAGCCAACTGTCCCTGTCACCCCCGCCCTTGCTGCACTGTCACTGTGGATGTGAGCTGGCCCAGCTGTGCGCATGGAGGCCAGGACCAGGGCAGGGTGGAGACTGAGGCTCAGGGTGTGACTGGGGCCCCCATCCCTGGCTCACCCATGCCAGCTTTGCCCTGGACCTGAAGGGCCCCAGGCCTGATGGCAGCTGTGGAACAGAGGCAGCGTGCAGAGCTGGAGCTCCGTGCTCTCGGCCGGCTGCCCGTACCCCCTGTCCAGGTTGAGTCGGGGAAGGGAGTGAATCCAAAGCAGTGCTCACTTGCCCACTGGGTGGAGGCCGCACGCTGGGGGTGTCTTGAGAACCATTGGGCCCGGCTGGTCGGGCCATGATCTTGGAACAGTGGCACTTGGCCCTCACCTTCCATCTGACCCCAGCTGCTGTGATACCCCCTCACTGGAAATAAAACCTTCTTTCTTAAGGCTCGTCCTTCTGCGTTCGGCCAGCCCTGCCTCTGGCTGGGACTCGGGCCTGCGACCATCTGAAACTGGTCTGGGCTCTGCGCTGTGCATGCACGTGTGCTTGGCATGTGCACATGACTGTGCACTGTGGTACATTCACTGTGGCATGGAACGCAGCCGTGAGCACGCAGGTTGTGTGAGCATATCATAATGTGTGCACTTGAGCACGGCATGCATGGACAGCACATGAACCAGTACATGACACGATGCTGTGCTGTAAACCGTGACTGGGAGCACATGTGGACATGTATTACCCATGTTATGTATCATACATGGCCACTAATACTGGATGTTATGTTTATGTGGCATGTGTATACACTAATCTGGACATCGGAGAGTGCTGTGTGTGATCTCTGCATGTATGTGGGTTGTATGATGCATGTGTATATAGTCTGCATATACATGGGTTACTGTGTGCATGCATGTCGGGCATCCCATGGATGTCTGACAGGACTTGTGTCATGAGGTGTTGTATGCATGTGTGATCTCTGCTTGTACATGGGTGTATGCCTGTCTGATGTGTGTGCATGTATGATCTGTGTATATGCATGTACACTTTTATGCTTGTGTGAATCTGTATGCATGCGGGGTATTGCATACTTACGCATGCATGGATTAGTGGATTTCTGTGGATGTGCATGCATGTACACATGCATGTACTGTATGTATGAGGTGAGTAGTGTGTACCTGAGATGCATGCATGCACGTACATGAACATGCTTATGTGACCTGCCTGCCTCCACATGGGCTGTGTGTGAGAGCTGGGGTGCTCCGGGCCCATCCGGGGCCCATCCGGGTGAGTGGACGCTGCCCTTCGGGCCAGGGTATTCCGGCTCCCATCAGGGTGGGGCCTGGGGTCCTGGCTTAGGTGCTGTTCCTGAGGTCTCACATGCCCTGCCCACTGTGGGGTGCAGGTTCCTCAAACTCCAAGGGCCAGGGCTGGCCGAGCTGGACAGAACCAAGGAAGTCCCCCCTCAGCCTCAGTTTCCTCTCCTATAGGTGGGAGGTGCCCCTGCACCTAGGGACACTGGGCTGCTGGGCCTCCCCCACCACCTCCCTCAGCAGGAGCCTCAGCTGGGGCTCAGCCACCCTGAGCGTGGGGTGCTCTGCCAGAGGGGCTGTCTGGCCACAGGAAGTGACCGCCGCATTGCCGGTTTGGCCCAAGCACCTCACTTGGGGGGTGCGGGACAGGCAGAGGTCAGACGTGCCCTGCCCCCACAGTGAACAGGGCCGTCTTGGGGGCTGTGGCTGGACCTGGCCGCAGGGGGTATCAGTGGGGGGGAGACAGGGTGAAGCCCCTGACCTCAGAGGGTGCAGGCGAGTGCGAATGGGGGGAGACTGATCCGTGTCCTCTTTGGTCTAGGGAGCAGCGGCCACACCCCTGGGGCCCCCTAAGGCGCAACTGGGTAGGTTCTGGAGTCCACGCTGCTGTTGCCGAAGGAGACAGCGGAAGGGAGCAGGTGGGGAGGCTGCCCGGCAGTCCCCCTCACACCTGTCTTCCTGCAGGAGGCCCCACCTATGTGAACATTCCGGCCAGCCCCACCGCCAGAACGCAGCCGCTCTACACGAGCCTGGAGCTGCGGGAGGCCCGGGCAGGGGTCCGAGGTGGGCGCGGGAACCAGGGCGCCTGACTGGGGGTTTGAGAGGGGCTTTGGGGTCCAAAGGGGGAAGTGGAGGCGCCCCGGGGGCCTGGCCAGGAGGCCGGACGCTCCGTGTGCTTTGCAGGGACCGGAGCCTCGTGCTACGCGCAGATCGACGCAGTGGCCACGGCGGCAGCGCATTGGGCTGGGGCGCGGCACGTGCAGGCCCGGGCGGAACAGAGGAAGGAGGCCCCACGCTGACCCGAAGACCAGGGTGCCGGGCCACCCCCCCCTCGATGTCTGGTGGCAGGGTCCCCAGGACCCACAGTGACCGTGTAAACAATCTAAACCTTGGGGTATCCCTGTAACTTCTCCCCTTCCTAATGCGAACGCCCTGAACCCCAACTCGAGAAGTCCCTATGGGATGAACCCGGGGATCCGGCACAGCCAGCACTCGTGGCCAAACTTGGGGGACTGCGGCCCAACAGACAGGACAGTCTGGAATGAAGGGGCCCTCCTGGGTGTCCTGTGGTCGTGGATGGAGTGGGCTCCCCTCCAGCCCTTCCAGCTCAGCGCCTCTCTGGGGGATGTGTCCGCTCAAAGGTGCCTGTCCAGGTCACTGGCTGCTGCTGGGCTGGGGATTTTGGCAGAAGCACCCCCAATGTCTCTAAGCCTGTGAGCTGCCCTACCTCACACAGCCACCAGCACTTCCCCCTTATCTTTACATTCCTTCTGGAAGTCTCCGTCCCCGTGGATCAGGTGCCCAGTGTCCCTTGGGGTGGGGGATCCTTCCTGTGGTCTGAGGGGCCAGAGACTCAGGACAAGCCTCCAGCCGATCTCCTCGGGTGTCCAGATGTGGATTCACAGCCTGGGCTCAACCCCGGGTCTGGGCAGGGTGGGCTCAGACACAGCTGCTTCTGGGGGGCAGACAGATGCACGGTTGTGCTGGATAGGACAGTGGACACCAGCTTCAGGCCCACAGTTGTGTATTTAGGGGATGTGAAGAGGTACACGCTGTCCTGGAGCCCCCGCGGAGAGCTCAGAGCTCGTTGTGGCCTCTGGAGATCCGGCCGGACAGGTCCTGGAAATGCTTCTTCACCTGTGGGGGGGGGGGGCACGGCCTCAGGCGGTGCAGAGCTAGGGCCGGGACACCTGCTCCCTCTTCCCCGTGACGAGGCTAATTTTAGAGCTGCTTGCCCACGCTGCAGGGGCTGCACCCCAAGGCGCCCTCCCCCAGGCAGGTGCGCAGCCCGCACACACTGCCACTCAGCACCCAGGAGGACCCGGTGGCCCCGCCCGCACCTTGTAGCCCAGCTCCTTGGTCCGCTCCTCCAGCTGCGCGTAGCGCTCCCGGTTCCGGCTGATGTGCTCGGGGTCGCCCAGCTTCTCCACGTGCCGCAGCTTCTGGTGCGACACCTCCAGCTGCTGCTGGTAGTGGTTGTGCTTCTCGATCTTGGCCTCGAAGTGCTTCAGCTCCTCCTGGAGGCACAGTGGCCGCACGTTCCCACCCGCCCACCACCGACCCGACCCGACCCGCACGGGCTCTGTGGGCTCCCGCGTGCCAGCGCCTGCAGGGCACAGCCGCTCCCTCCCGGGCCGGGGCTCAGGCTCCCTATGGTTTCTCCCCTGCCGGCAGGCACGTAGCAGGGCCTGGTATAACCACCCCAAACCACGGCCTTCAGCGGCCCAGGTCCCCAAGTCTGCACAAACGCGCAGCGCAGACCAGCTCCTCCTGGGGCTGAGGCAGGACCCGGGATGGGCAACTACTCTGGGGTGGAGTCAGAGTAGCAGTGGGGCGGAGCCAGGCGTCGTGGGGGCGGGGCCAGTCGCGGGGTGGGGGGGGGGGCGGGGGCACCAGCGCGGAGTCAGGGCTGCCAGCAGAGTCAGGGCTGCCAGCGGCGGGGCCAGCCGAGAGGGGTAGTCAGAGTCGGGGGGGGGGGGGGGGGGGGCGCGGCCCAGCTCACCCGGAAGGACTCCAGCTCCTTCGGGGAGAAGTTGGCGTTCTTGGCCAGGTCCCACAGGTCCATGACCCGGGGCTCCTCGAACTCTGGCAGGAGGAAGACCGCGCGCGCGCGTGGTGAGCACACGGGAGGGTGTGGCCGGCCCGCACCCGCGCCCTCCACTGCCCTGCCGCCCCGCGCCCCCGCTTCACCCGCTGCCTGGGCGCCATAGCCCTGCTGGCTGAGCCGCTGCAGCCGCTCCATGCCCAGGCCCAGCGCGCGCAGCCGCTCCTTCAGCGCCGCGTGCTGGCCTTGCAGCACCTTCTCGTCCAGGGTGGCGTCCGAGGGCTGGAGGGAGTTCTCGGGGGAGTCTGCGGGGAGCAGGCGGAGGTGTCAGCATGGGAGCGCGGGGCGGGGGGTTGGCCGCACCCCCTCCAAGGAGCCCAGGGCTGCACACCCTCAGTGCGGCTCAGCGTCTCCAGCAGCACGTTGTACTCCCGCATCTTCTCGCGGTGGTGCAGCAGCTCCCGCCACAGCTTGTCCAGCTCCGTGTCGGAGAACTTGCCTGAGATCTTCGCCTGGGTGGACAGACTGTCCTGTGGGCCTCTGCTCCTCCTGGGAACTCGGGCTCAGCACCGCCAGCGCCCTCACCTCCCTGCGCCTGGGGACACGTCCCCCAGCCCCCCCTCCCCCCACCCGCCGCGTCCAGTGGGGCTCTCAGGAGGGCCGGGTACCTGGTGCCACAGCTTCTCCAGCCGGGGGTCCTCGAGGCTGTCCTCCGGGGAGCTGTCGCTGATGGCGTTGCTTATCACCTCCTGGGCGCTCTTCCTTCCATCCAGCCCGTACTTGGCCACCAAAACTGGGGGACGAGAGGCATAGGACATTGTCCAGGTGCACACACCTCCCCTCTGCTCCCTGGTTTCTGGGACCTGTGTGGCCCACCGGGCCCTCGGGTCCACTAGGGTGGGCACCCAAGGCAGGCGTGGGGTTGTGTGTGTCAGCCAGCGGGTGGGGGTTGGTTCTGGCGCAGGTTCCGGCACCAGAGAGGACTGGCCAGAGAGGGTTGGCAGGACGGGAACCGGGAGGCACCCCCCTGGGGCGACCTCTGCAGGGACGCGGCCACACCCCCACCCACGCTGCCCCGCAGAGCCTGAGACCCCCGCGCAGCGGCACTCACCGCTGAGGCTCCGGAGCAGGGCCGCCTCCTTCTCGCCGGTGGCGTCCAGGCCCTCGGCCTTCAGCTTCTTCCAGCTGAACTCGTCACGCTCCTGCAGCTTCAGGTCGGCGTGCAGCTCGGACAGCCTCACGGGCGGCAGCTGCAGCTGCGGACAGGGACAGAGCCGTCTGTGCCACCGCGCCGGGAGGGCAGGGGCAGCAAGGGCCGAGACCGTGGGGGGGGAGGGGCGAGCCCTTTCTAGATAACCAAACCCAGATGCTTCCTGCTGCTCCTTCAAACCCAGCGGCGGCCTGTCCCTGCCTCCCGAGGGGGCGGCCCCCCAGGCCCCCTGAGATCGGGCTCACTCAGGGCGGGGCCAGGCGAGGGCCAGCCTCTATTCTCTCCCAAATCGGAGTCGGATTTTGCAAACACTTTGGCCTCGACTGACTCAGGAATGTGCGATCGGCCCGCGATGAAGCTGGGCTGGGGTCACAGCCTGGCCACGCCCAGCCCGGTAGCTCCGGGCGAGCCCCAGGGACACGGCTTGGGGCACGGCCTCCAAATGGGCCTCCCTTCCCCCCAGTCCCCGGCACACAGCGCTGGCCGGGGTCCTGTGTCCCGACAGGGCCGCCCCGCTGTCCAGAAGGCTGTTCGGCCACGGGGCTGGTCACTCCGAGAGGGAAGGCGCCGCGGAAGCCGGCCCGCGGGCTCCTGCATGCATCGCCCTCCCAGACCTCTCCCGCTGCAGGTGGGGGCCCACACTGCCTGGCTGCTGCCGGGGACCCCCTCCCCGCGCCGAGACCCCCGGCCCGGCCCCGCGCTACCCTCTGCGCCTTCTCCCAGAGCTGGTTGAGCTTCTCCATGCGGAACTCCTCCCGGGACGCGCGCGCCGGGGCCGGCCCGGGCTCGTTCTTCTCCCGCGAGTACTTGCCGCCGTGGGCCGCGGCGGGCGCGGGCGGCAGCAGCAGCGGCAGCAGCAGCAGCAGCAGCGGCGCCGGGGCCAGCGCGCGCACGGCCGACCGAGACCTCCGCAGCGCCATCTTCCCTCTGGCCTCCGGACCCCGCGCCGCCGCGAGCCCGCCCGGCCCGGGGCCCGCCCGCCCGCCGCTCTGCCTTCTGGGAGTTGTAGTCCCGGGCCACGCCGCCGGGCCGGGCGAGGCCGCCCGCGGACTACAAGTCCCAGGGAGCCGTGCGTGGAGCAGGGCGTTTCCTAGGCAACCGAGCCGCCGCCTCGTGACAGTCCTCGACAGTCCCTAGGTGGTGGTAGTGCGGAGCTGGTCGCGACCCGGCAGTGCCTGGAGGTGGGGCGGGAGCCACAGGGTGGAGGGGAGCCCGACCCTGCCCTGAGATACTGCGGGGGCTGGAGGGGCGCGGCAGAAACATCTGGAAGGTCACCCTGGGGCGGGGGTGGGGAGACATTCCAGGGCGTCGGGGCTGGTTGCCCTCCCCCGGGACCGGGCCCGGAGAGCGTGGTGCGAGGCCAGCAGATGGCCGATGCCGTTATCTCGGCCCCGCTGATGCGGTCCCTCTTGCCCGCGCTCCTGTGCGAGGCTCTGCGAGGGGCGCCGAGGGCACGTGACCCTGAGAGCCTCGAGCCCGGGACTTGCCCGACTGCGGGGCAAGGCAGGAGGGACGAGGGACGTGGGGGTGGCGGACAGCCCGTCGTTCTCTTAGGCCCTGGTTTGTGGAGATCGATTCAGACTCCAGGTGGGACTGAATGTGGGGGTGCGAGCAGGTGCCGCAGGGAGGGGTTCTGCGGTGGACCACCTGCCCTCGTGCTCCGCAGCGCTGCCTGGCCCCTCTCCCAGCAACCTCTGCTGGCGGGGTCCTGAGGTGTGACAGGGCAGACCCGGGTCAGGCGCTGTTTCCCTGCTGGGCCTCTGGCAGTGCCCTCAGGGCAGAGATTGTGGGGAGCAGCAGGAAGGGGTGCTTTCACTGGTGACGGAGCTCTGGGCGACCACCAGGGATGTCCTCTACCCTCTGACATCAGGAAGGCACTGGCCCACTCTTGGGTGAAGCTACATCTTCACCCAGGGGTGGTGGGTGGTGGCCTCCCCAACCCCCCACCCCCTGTGATGCGTCCCCAGAGTCCTGCAGCGCAGGCAGGAGTAGGGTCCCTGGGCAGAACTACACCTTCCCTGTCACTGTGTAGGCAGAGCCCAGGCACCTGGCCCCCGCGCACCCTGCACTGAGCCCCCTCCCACAGCACCCAAAGGTCCCAGACCCTCCCTCGATACCCACTGGAGCCCGGGACCAGCCGTGAGAAGTTCAAGATGTCTTAACCCTGTCTGGACCGTGGTCTAGGAGGGGCCGCCCCAGCCAGAGGTGCTCCTTGCCTAGGGTGCATCACCCTGCATTCCCCCTTAGGCCTGGTGCTTTAGTTTCGGGGTGAGGGTGCCTTTGAGGCTGGCCTGGGTCTGGCGCCCTCCCCTCCAGCTCTGTGCGTGTCTTCCTGCCCTGCCACCTGGGTGTGCCCCCTGCCGGCCCTCAGAGCTGCACAGCTCCCTCTGCCAGCACCCCGCATGTTTGTCGTGACCGTCACCCCCCCCCCCCCGTCTTTTCTTTCTTTGCCTAAGTCCCCACATGTCCCCTTGGATGTGGACCAGGGGGCCACCGTTCTCTGTCTTCGGTTGGGTTTGAGGGCACACCCAGCAGTGCTCTCAGGACTCGCCCCTGGGACTCAGTGCTCAGGGACTGTGTGGGGTGCCGAGGGTGGAACCAGTTTGTCCGCTCTGGCCCTAACCCCGGGCTTCACCCTGCTCTGTTTCTAGCCTCGGGCTTCGGAGTGCTTGTGCTTCCCTGCCTGGCCTTCTCCTGGAGGCTGTGTTGCCTGAGAGCTAGGCTGTGCTTCCTGCTGCTTTCTGGATGGGGGACCGTACACATACGACTGACAAACAGATGGACAGATGGACAGGTGAGAGGATGCATGTGTGGATGGTGGGAGGGAGGATGGAGGTCTTTGTATATGAGATGGGGGCTGGGGTGGAAGAGGTGGCGGCTGACAGGGTCCCTGACTGGGTGACAGACGGAAGGAGGGGGACAGGGATGGAAAGACGAGCAAGGCACCATGGAGGACTGGGGTGAGGGCAGCACTCACTCGGATAACACTCCCTGCGTGGGGGAGAGACCCCTCAGCCTCCTTCTCTGGACAGGCAACTCCTCCCCCATCCTCATTTCTGCTGCCCTGCCTCCCCCAGCCCACTGGGCCTGGGAAACCCCTCCCAGGTACCTGGATCGCCCAGCCTCACCCCCAGGACAATTAACTTGTCCGCGGCGCCCACCCACCTCATCATTCCGACAGGAAACTCCCACCAGGCTGAGAGCCAGAGCCGCGGTGACTGGAAGCCATGTGAAGACGCTGACGGCTCTGTGAGTTCATCCTCCTCCGCCGCCCGCAAAGAGTCAGGTGCTTTGGGGCTCCAGTGACACCCCACGGCCCCTGAACCCAAGTGCCCCCATTGGCGGGCATGCGGCACCACCTGGGGGCAGGGTGCTGGGCAGCGTTGCCCATCACAGCCCCCCTGTGGGAGACAGGGGGCGGGAGGGGCAGAGGCAGGGTCCGAGCCAGTGCTGACCTCAGCCTGGACACGGCTCCTCCTGCTCCCCCTCGTCCTCTCTCTTTCCCCCGCCTCCCCACCCCCTTCTCAGCTTCCATCCTTCCTTTCATTCTTCTTGTCCTCCTCTTCCTCCTCCTCCTCCTCCTCCTCCTCCTCCTGCTTCTTCCTCCCCTGCCCTTGCCCAGCTCTTTGCCCGGTGGCCTTCCTCTCCCCCTCCCCTCTGCCCTTTCGCCCCCACCCCCTGTCCAGGGCAGTCAGATGGGCCTGACCATCCCAGTGCCCACTGCTGTTTCAGGGCTGGGCTAGAGCAGGGACGCTGGTCCCTATCCCTGTCACCGCTCTCCTGGCTGCCGTGGGCACCCCTGCCCCCACCCTGCCGTCCCTGTGTGGTCGCTTTGGCTGGTTTTCCGCACAGCCCTTTCCAGCAGGTGGGGCGCACCGCACCCCGGCCTTGCCCCGCGACCCTGGACAGGCCGGCACTGGATGCGCTCCGAGGCCCGGCGGCCCCAGCAGTCTTGGGCTGAGGAGGGGTTCCCTCTTGAGGCACCGTTCCCTGAGTCAGTGCACCAGGGCTGGCCCGGGCTGCAGGCAGGTAGGAGCCTTGCCACAGCCCCATCCCGGCTCTGGGACGTTCAAAGATCACTGTACGGGCCAAGAGCGCTGGCCTTGCACACAGCTGACTGCTCCATCCCAGAGCCACACATGCGCCTGAGCCAGCCGGGACTGAACCCTGAGCGCAGCGCTCGGAGTCAGCCCTGAGCATTGCCAGGCGTGACCCAAAGACAAAATTGAATTTTTTGCTTTGGGGTCACACCCATGGTCCTGGGGTGCTTCTTGCTTTGTGCTCCTAGTGGTGCTCTGAGGGTCAAGCCTAGAGCCCCAGCCTGAAGAGTGGGTCTCCGCCCCCAGCCTCTCCTTTTCTGGACTCCTTTTCTCTTTTCTCTTTCTTTTTATACCCCTGATCTTGGGGCCACACCAGTGGTGCTCAGGGCTGACTCCTGGCTCTGAGCTCAGGATCACTCTGAGCAAGGCTTAAGGGGGTCATGGGGTGCTGGGGACCAACCCAGGTCAGCCGCGTGCAAAGCAGCCCTCCTGCCCGCTGTCCTATGGCTCAGGCCTCCAGAGCACAGCGACTCTTTGGGCTCCTGGCTGACTCCTGGCCGGGCTCAGGGACCACATGTAGTGCTGAGGACTGAGCCCGGGTCAGTGCTGCCCCTGCTGTCCCGCCTCGGGCCCCTGGTCCTTGTACTTTCCCCATTGGCAGCAGCAGAGCATGCCCCTGCCTCACCTGTCCCAGAGAAGCCTGTCCGTGCCTGGCTGCCCTGCGTCTGGGCTCTGTTGCTCCCATGTCGCACAGTGTCACTCCTCTGGGCCCTCCTTATCCCCAGGAGTCTGGGCCCCGCCTGCCAGCCTTGTGTCCACCCCAGAGCACAGTCATCCTGGTCAGCAGGTGCGAGGACCATGGGAGGCCTATGCCCATTGCCAGCACTGCAGCCCCGACCAAGCTGAGGCCGTGAAACTGGACCGCAGGCTCCGTGGGCCCGGGAGACTCAGGCGCTTCCCTGCCCCCGACCCGCTGCTGCCCTTGCTCAGCTCCTCCAGGCTCCTTGTCTCTGCAGTGATGTCTGCCAGCCCAACGCCCTTTTTTCCCCTCTCTTTGGTTTTTGGCCCACAACAGAATGCTCAGGACTTACTCCTGGCTTGGTAGTCCCGGCGGTGCTCGGGGAGCTGGGGGCTGCCAGGGATCGAGCCTGGGCTGGCTGTGTGCAAGGCAAGCCCCTGCCTGGCCGCCGTACCTTTCCAGCTCCCATCCAAGGTTGGATGTGTCTCTAAGCATGTCTCTGCCGCTGCCGTAGTAGACGGGCCCCAGGATGGCTAATACCTAGAATTAGCGGACGCCTCGCACGGAGACCTCGAAGGGGCAGGAGCAGCGTCCTCCCTTTGCCGGCCTTTCTGTGACAGCCTCCTGCTTGCGCGCGCCGCCGCCCGCTGACCTTGGGCATGACTGCCCCGTGCTAGCTGTGGATGGGAGCTGTCAGCGCCCGCCACGAGGCTGGCAGATGGGCTCTCCGATAACCGGTCCTTCCCCACTGCGGGGCCAGGGAGGCTCTGTTCCGCCCAGGGACCCCCGCCCAGCCCGGCCCCCGGCCCCAGCACCAGAGGCTGGGTGCGGTCCTGCACCCTCACGCCCTGAACCCATGGGGCAGGCACCTTCCTGTCAGCGGCCTTCGCTTCTCTGGCCTGGGCACCCCCGGGCAGGCCGGGCAGTGGGGCCTGAGGACGGACCTGGCCCCCCAGGCTGCGCCTGCAGAGAGAGGCTCCGGGGCCCCTCACCCCACCTGCCCTCCGCCCGGCTGAGCAGCACCCTGCCATGTAGGCGCCACCCTGCTTGAGCGACAGGCAGCGCGGGCGGGGGGAGGGGGGGCAGCGGGGGACGCCTGCCTGCGCCCTAATGCTAGTGTCACTTTCCGTGTGCGGCGTGGGGCGGATCGCGCATG